CCCCCCCCCGCCGCAGGGACCCGAACCGCCCGGTGTCCCAGGACACCAAGTTCATCCACACCCTCATTTGCATATCCCCGCCCCTCATTTTTGCATATCCTTCCCTCATTTGCATATCCGCACCCTCATTTGCATACACAGTCCCTTCCCTCATGTGCATATCCCGCCCTTATTTGCATATCCAACGCTCATCTGCACATCAAACCCTCATTTGCATACCCAGTCCCTTACCCTGAATGGCATGCCCCACCCTCATTTGCATATGAAAATGGAGCTCACCATGTCAGCCCAGGCCAGTGCACTCCTGGGATTCTCTTGTCTCTGCCTCTTGGTTTCAGGCTTTTTTTTTTTAATGGGGGGCTAGGAATGGTCCATTTTCCACTGGGCTATTCCCCCAACCTTGAAGTGTGACAGTTCATTGTGGCTCATGGCAGCGTCACCCCAGATCCTTCCATCACCTGGCTCCCTGACATCATCATTTAGGGTCCTGGCCACAAAGTCTGTGGCTGATATTAAGGCTAGAGGATGTGATGACGTCGTTGTCTTTCCACTGAGACCTTCTTCCCCCGCTGATCCTGGCCCGGTACCTCCTAGGCACCTCAGCTTTGGGCATGTTCTCAGCCCTGTGCCTGCTTTTAAGTGCTAAGGGTTGAAAGTGAGCAATCCTCTAGCCTTTTGGCGACAGGGTCTATTTTTCGCTCAGCGTCTTTCCCTGGGGACTCTGGCACAGATCCAGGTCACTGGTGTTTAATGGCCCTGGATAAAGAAGCACACAGAAGGTCAAGGTGATCAGGGCTGCACGCGTCCCAAACATTTTCAGAACGTCCACATCCCCCTGGAGGTAACCCACAGCCTTTGTGTGAGCGTCATGTGTCTGAAGTGAGTCTCGTGCCATGCCCAGGCCTTCCACACACGTGGATGCTGCTGAGGTTGCTGGTCACCTACTGTGTGACAAGTGACACCATCACTCAAGTCCCCATGATTTCTGTATTCAACTCCCTTTTTGCTTGAACTCCATAAAATGAGGCTTGTCTTTGTTTTTCTGACGGATAGATACATATCCAGTGTCTTCCTAGGTTTTCTTTGTGGTTTTGGGGTATAACCGCCCTGGCTGTCCTGGAACTCACTCTGTAGCCCAGGCTGGCCTTGAACTCACAGAGACCCACCTGGCTCTGCCTCCAGAGTTCTGTGATCAAAGGCGTGTGCCACCACGCCCAGTGTCTTCTTAGTTCTTTATACAAATAGAATTCTATTTATCAGCACAGCCATTGTGCAAACACCACCATCCTGACTGATAGACAATAAGCCAAAGAGGAAATTATTCTGTTATTCTTCCTCCATACCTTTTTTTTTTTTTTGATCCTATATTTTACTGACTGGAATTCATGTAAGGATTTGGTCCTTAATTACGACATCATCAGCCGTCAACAGCTTCCCAGCCTAAAAAGCGGGTGGGCCCTCTGTGCGCGCTCTGTCTCTTCTTCCTTTCCGCTCCTTCCTCCCATCGGCCCCCCTCTCTCCCTCTTCCCCTTCTCGTCCCCCCATCTCTCTCTCTCTCTCCCCCCCCCTCCTCTCCAATAAAGCTTTAAAAAGGTAACCATGGCTATGATTCTTTCAATCAGCACGCTCCTCCACCAGCATGGCCACCGCGGGCGGCGACCAGCCATGAGGGACAGCACCATGGCATAACCCCTCGGGCTGCACTCGCCACGGCACACGTCCCTTTCTGACGAGAAAGCAAATGCTGTCCTGGTCTACCGGGTGGGCCAACTGCAGTGCAGCCGCAGCCCTTCGCATCCCTGGACGAAGAGGACGGCGAAGTCGAGCTGACTCATGGATCTCTCTCCACTCTTTGGGGACGCCCAAGATTGTAGTCTGATCCCAGTTTGTTATTTTAATTTTTTATTTTTTTTCTCTCGGCTACAGCCATGGGACAGAGGGGCGGATACATTGGCGGATAGGGCCGGGCACCGGTAAACCTGGCCACGTAACAGTTGCGGGAGCTTCTGCCAGCGAATGGGCAAATAGGAGTTACTTCATCTCCAAGCTTTCTGCTAAAGTTCTAAACCCTTCTCCTCCCCCACTTCTGCGTCTGCCACGTGCAACCTTTTCTGTCTGACTTCCGCCGGCAGTGGGCGGGCTCAAATGGGCGGGCTTGGGCGGTTTCTATGACTCGCCCTAACTCACCTTAACTCCACCCACTCATTCTCAAACTGCCTTGAGAAGCACAGACGGGTCTGGAAGAGACTAAGATCCATACAAATAAGTCACCTCTCCTTTATTGTCGGGCACAGAGGACAGCCTTACCATCTCACCTGATTTAATTGCACTTTCAGAGTTACTTAATGAAAAAAGATTTCCACCTAAAATAAGAGCTCATTGCTTCACTCCAGATCCACTGCCGGTGCTTCTCACGTGCATACAGACAGGGCCCTGATCTTTGCCTTGTCCCTAATTCCAAAACAGTAAATTCTCATGCACCACAAGCTTTTCTCTTCCCAGTTCCCTGTTCTAACTCACTGCTCAGCTAATGGTACAGGACCACCACAGAACCGGAGTCCAGAGATCATCAAATAACAGCTAAAAGGTATTTACACCCCAGACCTAAAAGCACCTGGGTGCTACAAAAAGACTTTAATGTAAACATCTATTACTATGAGATGCTTTTAACAACTGATTGCCTGTCTCCTAGATGCCGAACTAGTAAAGGAAACAGGTGCTTTAAAATAACCTGTCTCTACTAAAGCTTAACATGGTTCAAAATCCATAGGGGCAGGCCAGATCTACCTCAGATAAATGCCAACTCCAAAAATAATAATGATTCTTTTATCTCTCTAAGTATTTTTCTGTGTCACCGGCATCTTGTCAAACAAAAAGGTCCCAGCCACAGCCAAGAGGGACACATGTCTCCAGAGCAAACGGATGACAGACAGCATCCCACAACGTCCGTCTACCTCGGAAAACTCCCCTTCTACATTCCCCCCGGAGCCAAGCAATGTCCAAAAGTCAGCTGGAAGCAGTTTTGGGGAGGAACGACGCCCCTAGTCCCATCTACCTGCTTTTTTTTTTTTTTTAAATAATAAGGCAAAGTCTGGAATGTAAGGATTCGGTCCTTAATTATGTCATCAGCCTTCGACGGAGTCCCAGCCTAAAGAGCGGGTGGGCCCTCTGTGTGCTCTCTGCCTAGCTCCCAGGAAGGAGACTACGGGCCAAGTCGCTGTCAGACTGCCCTACTGAGAGCCAAAAAGTGCTTGATTATTTTAAAAGAAAATACATTTATTAAAAACAAAAAAATGAAAAAAGAAAGTTGTGATGAGTACTTATTTTCCCGAATACTAAATCTGGAACCATGGGCAAGAGACATCGCCTTTGAAGATAAACTAAAATTTCCTGCTTGGCTCTCTGTTGCTGTGATGAAACACTATGACCAAAGGCAACTCGGGGAGGAAAGGGTTAATTTTAGCTTACAGCTTACAGTCCATCATGAAGAAAGTTAGGGTAAGAGTTTAGGGGAACACTGCTGACTGGCTTGCCCCCCCCCCACCATGCTTTCTCAGCTTGTTTATTATAAACCCCAGGGCCATCTGCCTAGGGGTGACACCACCCACA